GATGATGTGTCTTTTTCCGGCGAAATTGATAAGTTCCGGCAGAGAAGGACCAAAATTGGACCAACTTATTAGTTACGGGATGTAAATTGCAAGTTTATAAAGTTACAGGACCAATATCGGATATAGCTATAAGTTATGGGACTGAATCAACAAATTTCCCCATCAATTTTTTTGTAAATTATATAGCTACGTGTTTTCCATAGGATTTGCATCTACGTGTTTTTGTAAATCATACCCTCAAATCATTATAATTAAACACTTATGTCACTCAAATCTCAAACCAGCAACCTAATGAAATACTCCTTCCCTTAGATCTTCTCACTTTCCTTTTTCGTCCGTAATTAAAAAATCTTCTCATTTCTAAATCTTCTCATTATACCCTCAATAATTTTGAAAATACTACACTATTACAACCATTTTTTTGGATTTATCCTTACTTCCATCACACTATTCCACTATCTTCCCATCATACTCTCAATAATTTATATCCTCTTTCACTATTTTGGGTTAATCTACCTACTTTTCAAATGCGAAGATTTTAAAGTTACGAAGGGAGTAAAAATTGTGAGTGAACAAAACTACTCTCTACAATTGCAAGTAGGACGAATGAAAGGAGATTGAAAAATAAGGATGTTTTTACTTGGATCGGAATTTTCTTGTCTGGTCTGGTCTAGTTTCTGTGTATTTTATAACTGTCCAAGTCCAGTTGGTCTGGTCTGATCAGGTCTAGTCTGGTCTGGTCTGGGGTTCAAAGCAGTCCAAGTAAAAACATCATAATACTACATTCGTTCTTTTTTAGTTGTAACATTGGTGAGTACTAAGTTTTGCATTGTTCGCATATTCTACTTTGATTACATTTTATTTATCAATGTATTATAAATTAATTTTTTTAAAAAAATTGTTAAATTCCTCTCATTCTAACTTTTAAAATATGAATTTTATATTTTTTTACTAATAAGAAGTGACAGATATTAATGGTCAAACTTGTGTTTTGTCAAACGCGAAAGGTGCATTGGTATAACTAAAAGAGGGCGGAGTAAGTGTTAATCTAAAAACGTGTGAGTTTAAAGAAAAATGTTTGGTGTACACATTTTTGTACATTCGTCTGTCTCACGCGGACAGAGTTGTCTGTTCATAGACAGTTTTATATAGTTGTTTGTGGACAGACAATTCTGTGTGCGTTAGACAGACAAGTATACAAAAGATGTACACAAAAATGTGAGAATTAACAACACATTAAGTGGGTTTGTTAGTAAATCGTCCCAATTGAACACACCATTTTGTAATATGATGATGACGATGATAAATTGCAACTTTCATTACCCAACTGGTATATTCTAGTATTCTACTCTATCGCTTCAAAAATACACTACCATTAGTGCAAGTTCTTCAATGAAATTAATGGGAAATCTTTGTTCAGTTTGAATATCACCAATTTTTTATTTTAAATTATTGTACGTATGTACGTGTCATCCATCTTAATTTCTCAAATATGTACTTCCCAAGATCGATATAGTAAAATGTTATTCTATGTTAGGAAGTTGCTAGATCAATCACCAAAAATTAAAATTCCCATAATAAAATCTCACAACTCCGTCATTTTTGCAAGAATTAAGGAGTGTTTGAGTTTGCTTAAAAAAAGCGCTTTTCATATTTTGGCTTAAAAAAAGTTGAAAAGAGTGTTTTCAAATGACAGCTTCTGCTTAAATTAATCACTTAAAAGCTAAAAGCTGGAAGCAGGTAGAAGGGTGCTTTAAACTGCTTCTCACTTTTTCTATTACACAAAAAGTACTTATTTTACCAAACACTACCAACTTTTACTTTTCCAGAATCACTTTTTTCTCAAACACTACCAACTTTTACTATTAATCACTTTTCCCAAAATCACTTTAAAAAATCACTTTTTTAAAGTTGAAGCAATTGCAAACACTCCCTTAATATCAAAGAAATACGTACTCCGTAGTATTTATTGTGGATTTGGATCCTCTGCCGCACGGCAGAGGTGCCTTGCGCAATCCAATGGGCAACAACCTCTGTTCTAAAAATCGTTCTAGGCGTTCGACTAGTCTCCGCCTAGGCGCTAGGCGGTGGTCGGGCGTTTTGATTTTCGTCTAGGCGCTCCGACTAATTGGTTTGCCGTCTAGGTGAATTAGTCGGCCGCCTATGGCGCCTAATTGCCCGCCCAGAGCGCCTAATCGGCCGCCTAGGCCGTCTAGATTCGCCGAACATTACTTTACTTTTCAATTTTAATTTTCTAAGCAATACAAGTACTTTAACTTTAGCTATGGATATAAAGAAATGAAGTTGTAAATTGAGATAAAGACTATATATGTTTGTATATACACCTAAATTTTATTATTATTTATAATTATAACATAATGAAGTTAAGTGTTTAGTTATCATATATTACATATGATTAAAAGTGATAATTCTATCATTCATGTTTGTTAATGTATGTGTATATATAGCTGAATGGATGCGAGGTTACCGTGTCTAGCTAAGGTCTCGGGTTCAAAACCCGCTAGGCACATAGGGGCTTGAAACTCAATGGGCTGAGTTTCAGTCCTGATTACTCCAGGGCCCCCAGACCCCCCTCCCCCCAGTCGCCCCGGAGTAAAAAAAAATTATATGTGTATATGTGTATTTTATTCACACAAGAATACAATATTACTTATTATATTTATGCAAAATATAGATAAAAATGCAATTTCTATGTTCCGACTAGTTCCCGACTAAGCGCCCGCCTAGCCGTCTAGGCGCTAGGCGCTGGGCTGACGCCCGACTAGCGTCTAGCGCCTTTTAGAACATTGTCAACAACAATAAGGGAGGAGAATTTGGGGAGGGGAAGCTTAGATCATGCGGCTGTAATTGGACAGACATCCTACTTGGCGGTAAACCAAGGAGAGAATCGTGACCCATTTACTGTATAACTCAACAAAACTATAAGGGTGCAGAGTCTACACGATCTTTTATATTTTTAACGTGAATTTACTCTTAAGTCTCAACAATTAACCTAGCCATTTGTATCAATCACATACATTGATGCCAGCGGCGGAACCAGGGGGAGCGAGCCGGTGCTGGCGCCTCCCCTTCGCCGGACGAACCTAGGTATACATATATAATATTTCCGTCAGCGCCCCTGAACTCCTGAAGGCTGAAGCATCTTCTTGTTCGGCAACCCTGCGTCTCGGCGACTCCTAACTGCGAAAGGAAGCCATGTGTTTTTTATTTCATTTAGCTATACGGCGCCGTTTTGCGATAAATAAAAAGGAAAGTCTAAACGACATCGTCGGATTTACTTAATTGGTCAGCGGCCCAACCCAAAAATCGAAGGGGCAGAAGTTAATCGCTAAATCTGCCGTGTTGTGTTATTGCTGTGTTTAAGTACTACTGTTTAGTTTCCTTTTATAATTTTATTAGTTTTTACTCTTTTACAGTTTAACTATTGATTTTATGTAATTCATTAATTTTATGATTGTGTATTTGTGTATAAATAAATCAATGTATAATTGGCTAAATCACTAAACGTCCAATGACTAATGTGAATTTGTGCAATTTTGTAATCAATAATATCTTTTAATACAAAATTGGCCAGTTTCACTTTTCTTGGTCAATGGTGGTCAAATGTAATCAATAATATCTTTTAATACAAAATTGTTCAAAATATGGAAAGTATGTGAACATATTCTTTAATAAAAAGTCTTTCACAAAATATAAAATTTATAAATTACACATAAATATAATATATAAAATTATTGTCTAAACTATAACACTTTTGACTAAGAGAAGTCAAATTGGTCAATATATTTGGGACGGATGGCGTAATATTTTTCTAGTTATTATTTTGAGGTTTTATACGGAGTACATTTTTCAGCACCCCCTCGAAAAAAGTTCTGGTTCCGCCGCTGATTGATGCATTCGTCAAAATTTAAGGCAAAACATAATATGTATGAAGCATACTCAAGAGTATCCAACTATGAGTCAAGTACCAATTATAATTTATATAAAACTTCACAAAATGAACATAATGATCGAGATAGAGGAGGCAAATCATAGAATTTAGGTAGAACGAATAAAATCGGTAGCTCAGTTGGTCGAGTGGTGGGAGATTTGGAACAATAACCAATGTTCGAATCCCCACAGCGACCGGATGAAGGTCACAGAACCTGAAATAAGGTTAAGCCTCTAGTGCGCACGGGTGTATGAGCCTACTGCCACTTTGCTGACTGAGTCACCATGATTTACATGCTCCCATTGGGGAATCAACATTTTGGAACAATAGGTTGAACGAATAAAAGGTTGCAATAATTCCAACTTAAGAATTGTAAAATTATCGAGCTCCATATTAAAATTCAACCTAACGTTTAAATATACGGATTACAAAGTAGTGTGAATATGCGTGCAGAACATCATAAGAAAAAATGAGTGTGTTTTTCGAGTGTTGTAAGTTGTAACCGTTAAAACTTGCTTGCTTCACTTCATACATACTGTTCTTATGTTCTTTCTTGGTCAAATTCATTCAGAGTAATGCACCAATGTTCCAATAACTATGTTGTAACCGTTTTTCAAGATAATCCAAGAAAAATAAATTTGTAGAGGAAGCGGGAAAAATGGCAGAACATCTTAGGACCAATTATTCAGTTAACCATCACTTTCGATTTCCCAGAAACCTAAGCTGCGGATCATGAATGCAGAAGTGGACACAAGAAGACCAGCAAAGACGATCGGCACGACGAAATCCCAATCGGACGTCTTCATCATGTGAATCGGCAAGCAAAACTTCTCTGACGGGACATCCAGAGGCACCTTGAGGAATCCCGCTCCGCAAGGAGATGAAGGGGAAGGAGAGACGACTGACATGTAAGCAAGCTGGGCCAGAGAAGAAGCGGTTCCGACGGTGATGAGCAGAAGAAGGGACCAGACTGTGGCATATAGCAATAGCGGCCATGTCGTGGAGAATAGCCTCATGACAGTGGGATGAAGCAATGTTAGAGACATTGGTTTGAATGAATGAATCTAATTCATATGTTGTGTGGAGCTATTATTATGCTGTTGGGTAGTTATAGAATGAGATGGGTGAGGGAAGTTGGGGGAACAAAAGAAGAGGGAATGTGTAACTGCTTCTCAATTACCGTATAAACTCATCATATATTTTGGCCAATGATTAAATATATGTTCCAAAATTTCATGCACATTTTCATGTTTTTTGTATGTTCTGTACTTCTGTAAAGTTCAATTCAAAACAAGTTGGAAGAAATCAATTTGCTCTAAAGGCTCGTGTTCATTTGAATTTATTTTGTTCAACTTATCAAATATGTCAAACCACGCAAATAAACAAACAAATGGGAATTGATACTTTAGGAGTAATAATCCCATCATTTGTAGTATTGTAGTAAGAAAATAACATGTCTAGATTTAAATTTTAACAACCAAAAAAACAGTATCAATTTGTAAAGAGTCTTCATTCCCCAACCAAGTTTTTGAAGGATTTTTTTAGGATATAAAGGATGGTTTTACTTGGATTGATTTCAAGCCCACACCACATCAAATCAAACTAGATCAGACCATATCAGATCAAATCAAACTAGATCAAAGCAATTCAGACCAAATCAGACCAAAAAAATTCACCTAAAAACATCCTAACTAGTAACTCCATGAAATTTAAAAGATTTACGGAGTATAAGGAATCTATCAAATTATATGGAATTTTATCGGATTCCGAAGGCCAATGGTTGCTTTCTTTTCTGCTTTCTGCAACGGATGTGCACATTAAGATTCCATATTTCAATACTGAGAGTCTGAGACTGGATCTTACTATCCAAGCTTCCAAACCCTAGCTTCCCAGACACCATTTGCTACTTCACAAAGCTCATCCCTCATCTCTTTTCGACATCTTTAAGAGCCAACTAAGCTAGAAAACAGACCAGCGACTCTGCTGTTGCGGTGGTGGTAGAGTTAGAACACCCAAAGCTCCAATTCGGACCTCCACCGTTTAGCCGGTTGGGGAAGTTCAAGCATGCTGGTTGTCGGGGATGATGTCAGAGCTCAGGTGAGCAAGAAAAGGTTTGGACTCAGCTAGGTATCTTGAATTTAAAAAATCCTTCAAAATCCAGGTCGGGGACACCCCTAATCAAATGCAGAAATTTCAAAATCCTAAAAACATTTTAAACACTTAGGAGTATGTGTAAATCTAATAGCTGTGATCTCATTTTACTCTTATCCCTCTGCGCGCCTTCTTTCAAACAGCAATTTCTACATTAGGTCCTATAATTCATCTCTGTCTCCGCTCTCTAACATCTCAGGAAAACAAGTGCATTCAACCATCTTACCCTTTAAAATTAATGGCCATTTCACACTTAAACATTTGACATTCCATTTCAATATGTATCATATGGTTTACGGTTTACCAGAAAGACTATACCATCGTTTAAAGATAGTTCAGTTCCAGATTACTGGTTTTCGTTGCTATTTACTATATATATGCGTTTTTGGTATACAAAGACGATGTTTTTTCAGAGTAGTAAATCGGAAGAGCGACAATTAAGATGCCAAACAGAGTTGAGAAGACAAACTACTTCGATTCATAGATCTAAGAAACAGTATAGTTACATGATACCAAAGCAAATAGTTCTATCAGACCTATTAGCACAATTTCAATCTCAAATCACAAGAGAAACAGGGGAAATCTAGATCAAATCACAACAAATTTAAGAGCTCGTGAACTTAGTCACTGCCTTAGTTCCCTCAGACACGGCGTGCTTGGCCAATTCACCGGGAAGAACAAGCCTCACAGCCGTCTGGATCTCCCTGGAGGTGATCGTCGGCTTCTTATTGTAACGAGCAAGTCTGGACGACTCCTGAGCGAGCTTCTCGAAGATGTCGTTGATGAAACTGTTCATGATCCCCATCGCCTTGCTGGAGATTCCGATGTCTGGATGAACTTGCTTCAGAACCTTGAAGATGTAGATCTTGTAGGTCTCGACGCTCTTTTTGTTCCTCTTCTTCTTCTTGTCGCCGGCAGCAGCGGCGCCCTCCTTGGGAAGCTTCTTCCCCGCCTTCGGCTTCTTCTCCGCCTGAGTCTTCTCAGCGACGGAGGCCTTCTTCTCCTCCGCTGGTTTATCGGCGGCGACCTTCTTCTCCGCTGGCTTTTTGTCGGCCTTGGGCGCCATTGGAATTTCTAGTAAGAGTTTAGGTTTGGAGAAAGAAGGGAAAGTGTTTAAAATGCTAAAGTGATGAATTGCGATGAAAATTTTGATACGCGTGCTTTCCCTTTTATAGATGTCCAATTATGGGTGCTCATTCGAGGAATTGAAATGACGCGGATCGATGAGGTGGACTCATACGGGGCGTCGATAAATGATGGGATTTACTTTTAAATCGACGGCTTGGAAATACCACCTTATGGATGGTGTTGGTGTGAGGGACACGTGGTGGTCCGCTATTGGAGACGTAGTGTAGTACGCGGATCATTGACTGGTTTTCAGCTTCGGCGCGCTCATTGGCGCTAACGTAATTTTTTGAAATTTCGTTTTCATTCATACAAAATTTCAACTCGAGTTCGAAGGTATGTTGAGGAAAGCTGGAAAAGGATTCGGTAATACGTAGTATCTATTAATATCTAAAGGAGCAGTTTTTTAGTGAATAGTGTTCCCACCCAAAAATGTCAACATCAAATTTCATTGTAATTTTTCATCCAAAATAAATGTCATGTAAAGGGGATGGTGCGCATGGAATTTCTGTGAATTTAGGAGTGCTCCAATTGGTTTACAAAAAGTAGATCACTGTTCACATGAAAAGAAATGACATAGATTGATTTTTCCTATTGGTTAAAAAGGATTTGACACTGTTCATTGTGGCTCTAATTGGTTCAAAAAGGAGGTGATGCACATGGCTCTAATTGGTTGTGTTCCTATTGGTTAAATAAGGAGGTGCACTGTTCCCTCCATAGTGTTGAGTCTGTTTTAATTGGTAGTTTTGGAGGTGTGCACAGTGATATAGATGAGATGCCCATGCTATTTACACCTATAAAAGCAAGACTAAGGTGCTGTTCTGTTCGTCTTATTCTTATTACTTATTGCTTATTCTTATTTTATTCAGATCAGATCAGATCAGATCAGAAAAATTCAGATCAGATCAGATCAGATCAGAAAAATTCAGATCAGATCAGATCAGATCAGAAAGATTCAGATCAGATCAGATCAGATCAGAAAGATTCAGATCAGATCAGAAAGATTCAGATCAGATCAGACCAGATCAGAAACATTCAGATCAGATCAGAAACATTCAGATCAGATCAGATCAGAAAAGTTCAAACATGATTTATCATTTTTATTATTATATTAAATATTAATTATTATTATTAATATTGTTATTACTCTTATGATTATTATTATATAATTATTATTAATAATATTAATAATAATATGATATAAAAAAGATATTAATAATAGTTATAATATTTTAATATAATAATAGTAATATAAATGCAATTGTTAAGAAGACTATTATTATTATTATTACAATATTATAATAATAATAATATGATTAATATTATTATAATATTATATTATAATTATATGTAATTATAATATTAATTACAATTATAATTCTTATAATTATAAGTATAATCAATTGTAATTATTATAATTATATCTATAATTAATTATAAATATAATTGTAATTAATGATAATTATAATAATTATAATTATAATTACAATCATAATTATAATTATGATTATAATTATAATTATAATATAATATTATAATAATATATTACTAATTATAATAATAATCATATTATTATTATATTATTGTAATAATAATATTATTATATTATTGTAATAATAATATTAATATAATAATATCGTTATATAAATATTAATTGTATTTATATTACTATTATTAAATTATAATATTATAATTAATGTTAATATAATTATAATTATTATTAATTATAATTATAATAATTATAATTATACTTATAATTATATTATAATTATAATTTATGATTATAATTATTATTTTTATTATAATTATTAATATTATTATTATTATTACTATTGTAATTATTTTACGGAGTAATTATAATAATATTGATAACTATAGTTACAATTATAGAGATAAATATTGTAATTATAATTACAATTATAATTATAATTTATTTAAATTATATTTGTAATTGCAATTATAATAATTATAATTATAATTATAATTATAAATTATAATTATAATATAATTATAAGTATAATTATAATTATTATAATTATAATTAATAATAATTATAATTATATTAACATTAATTATAATTATAATTATAATTATAATCATAGAAATATTCGAATCAGATCAGATCAGAAAGATTCAGATCAGATCAGAAGGATTCAGATCAGATCAGAAACATTCAGATCAGATCAGACCAGATCAGAAACATTCAGATCAGATCAGAAAGATTCAGATCAGATCAGATCAGATCAGAAAGATTCAGATCAGATCAGATCAGATCAGACAGATTCAGATCAGATCAGATCAGATCAGAAAAATTCAGATCAGATCAGATCAGAACTTAAAAAATTCAGATCAGAAACATTCAGATCAGGCGAAGAGAACAGCTTCTAATGCAGTGCAAATCTCACATTCATTCGCATCAACAAGAGAAATAAGAGGGAAACAAAAAGGCATTTGTGGGAACGGATGGGAAATATGGCTTAGGCTACTTGGGCATAGTTGGGGAGATCCCCATCACTGACTTTCATCATCAAATTCAATGAAATCCCAGAGTTAGGTTGAGGAAAACTGATCCAAGATGGGTCTCCAGTTGTCCGACCGTCAAAGCCGAATGTCGTTCCTCTTGCGTCAGCGCGTGGCGGCCACAGCAGCACATTAGCAGACTTCTCACGGACGCCTCTTCTCAGTGCAGTAGCAGACTTCAACATTTATATCTAGAATATGACAATAGCACGCTGAGTTTATAAATTCTCAACTGTAATAGTGTATGAGTAA